TATACTCGTAATTGGAAACCATTGGTAGTGTATTGACAATTGACTACTGCTGACATCACCAGGTGCATTTAAATTAAGAGAAAGTAAGCGGAAGAATTAGCATACATGAAAACTAGTTTCGGAATAAAACTGCGTTTCAATAGGGAATGCTTAAGCTATAAAAAAAATTTATCCATGTATATTTGTTTTACTTTTGTTAAGTGTTTTAGCACGATTGCAGAAGTGTTGATAATTACTTTTTAAAGTCATTAAAAATATATTTAGACACCACCACATTTGTATCCACCTTCATCATCAACGAACAGATTTTAAAACCATAATTCAACAACGCGGTTCTCTTGAATTCATTATAAAACATTATATAAAAACAGCGTCTGTTCGTTTTCTCACTTGTTTTATATATTTTTTTGCTTCTTTATTTTACATTTTACATATTTATATCGCATTTCGTTTTCCACATTGGAAATATACAATATGTATGCTCGAATTTACATTCTCTTAGTGACTAAATTTGTTTTTCCTCTTGTTTTTTGCATTCGGCTTGCTTGTGGCTTTTCTTTCATCCTACTGACACTACCCTTTCCGTCTTCAGTTTTCGTTGACACATGTTCCACATAGTTACAATTACAATTTGCTTTGTCACGTTTCATGTTTCGACTGTTTTGTTTTTGTTGTTGCTTGTTTTAACTCTGTCGCGCGTAATTAGCATTATCTCTGTTCTGTTTGTTTTATTTTGTTTCCGTTTCGTTTATACGCCTATATCTGCTTAAATTACAAATCATTAAATTATTTTAACACGTACTTAGATTGGATTAGATTGCTACAGCTACCCGCCCATCGCCCGGAGCTTTTCAGTTGATGTTCTTTCAGTTGTCGCCGGCGTGAATCACTTGAAGTTGAGTTCCACGCACCGCCTTAACCTTCGACTTTGGGGGGCTATAGCACCCCCGATTCCGCTTCTGTCCACCGCAGTCAGCCGCAACCGTAGCCACAACTTCAAAACTGGACATTCGCGCATCCTATTAATCTCCAGATACATCGCCACCGTCAATGTGGCTGCTGCTGCTGGCCAACGGCATGGCCAGGAGCGGTTCCGACTTTGCTACTACTCGGTATTGTACGTAACCTAAACGTGCGTAATGCGCTTGCAACTGCTGCAGGTGCGGAAGCTGATGCAGCAGAGGTGGTTGTGGCTGCGGCTGGGGGCGACTTCCCGGATGCTGCAAACGGCGTCGAAGCTGGCGTCACATCTCAGCTCATTGGGTCTGGTATTGTGGCATCGCAGCACTGTACATCATCTGGGGGGCAAGTGATCCGTTCGCTGCAGCGGCCGCGGATGCTGCGGCGGCCGTCACACCGGGCACCACAGTTCCGGGCACGCCCCATGCAACATTCGGTGGCACCATACGGTATCCAGCCGCTGAAAATTGTATGCAAGCTGATTAAGCCAAGGTCATAAGTATTCAGGAGCTGAGAAAGGTAAACTTACGGACTCCTCCCGCTTGCTGAGCACTGGTAGTGTAGGCGTAGGGATAGTAGCCCTGCTGCATGTACTGCGTCTGCATCTGGGTTGTGGGATAAGCCTGCAGGAACGCAAAAAGTTAGTGTCAATCGTTTATGTCATTGAAGGAATGTAATGCTTACCGCAGGGGGATACCAGTAGCCCATCTGCTGGTACGCGTATGGATACTGCGCTGCAATCTGCTGGGGCGTCATCATTTGGCCGGGTATCGCCGCTCCAGTAGCGGCGGCGATCTGTTGCTGCGTCATCATCTGACCGGGCATGGCCGCTCCAGCGGCAACCGCAGCATTGGCAGCTGCAACGGCGGCAACATTGGCAGAGGCTGCTGCCGCAGCAGCTGCGGCATTGAGGTTATTGGCCGAATTATCGCCTCCGTTCTCTTTGCCCCAGAAGCACTTAACCAGGTTTCCATGAACCTCGCTGTTGTGCGTGTGCTCGATGGCGTGGGCGGCTGCCTCCTTGGTAACAAACTTGATGAACGAGAAGCCCTTGTCCTTAAAGACCCGCACGTCCTGGATGGGACCAAACTGGACGAAGTGCTTGTGCATCAGGTCGTCGCTGATGACGTTCGGCGGGAATCCGCCACAATATACGGTGGTGTTGGTGGGGCTCGACTGGTTGTACACTTCCTCGAAGGTGTGGCGTTGACTTCCCTTTACACCGGACCCGTTACCCGGTCCGCCACCCATACCGCCTCCCTGGCCTCCGCCCTTGGAGGGCTCGCGCGGCGGAGGCAGCTTGCGCGTGGACCAGTTGGTGCGTATCGACCGCGAGCCAATCCACTGGCCGTTCATCGCCTGGATGGCGTTCTCTGCCTCCGCTTTTTTCACAAACGACACGAAGGCATAGCCCTTTGACTTCATGGTGTGAGGGTCGCGGACAATGCGGCAGTTGGAGATCTCGCCGAATGGGGCGAAAGCCTCGCGCAGCGTCTCTGTCTCAATCTCGGGACTGAGGTCGCCCACGAATATGTGGTGGTGCGAACTGATGTCTGTCTTCGGCTGATTGCCGGGACTGGTGGCCCAGTTGACCTGCGAAGAGAATTCGTTTAATCGGCAATCAATTAATTTCTGTCTAATTAAAAATATCATGGTGCTTGGGCGTGGGGAAAATTTGTGGCAAAAGAATAGAATTCTAAGTAATGAGTCCACAGGAAATGAAATACACATGTTCAGACACATTTTGATAACTAAAGAGAGAAGGTAATCAGCTTACCTTGATTTCCTTATCGAGGAATAGGCGTTTATTCATGGCGGTCAGGGCTGTTGTGGCTGCCTGGTAGTTGGAATATTCGATGAAGGCATACGGATCGTTTCCCGGCTCCCGAATGATTTTGCAGCTTTTGACAGGGCCCATTGTGCCGAAGAGGGCAATGAGCAGGTCCTCAGACACTGAGCTGTCCAGGTTGCCCACGTACAGGGTCTTCGGCTGCGACTCGTCCATAGCTGTCGGATGTACCGGGACTGTGGTTTCGATCGAGTTATACACTAGACTACAGCGACTGTCTCTACTGACTCTACACTCGGACCGAAATTGCAACAACTGCACCTGGCCGCATTAATCGGAAGGGGATGTATCAAAAATTTCCAGATTATGTTCCTAGCTACGTACAAAATCTAAAGAAGTATCTGCTAATTAAACAGGTGTCTTTGCGGCAACCCAAAGGATGCTAGCTGCTAACAGAGAACTCGGCTAGAGATTTGAATACTTTGATTTTCTACTACTTTCAACTCACTCACGGATTGGCTTGATTATTTCGATTATATAAACTATATATGCTCAATTTGGTAGGTAAAACTATTTGCTTAACTCTGAGGTTCGTCGTTTATTGCTTTACTTCGTTCCTAATCTGGCGCCTAATTGAAAATTTCGTTAAACATCTATATGTATACGTATAAATATATCTGTCCTAACTAAACGCTAATGGAGTGTTTTGGAATATACGATTAGTCGCCTTATATGTGTCTATAATCGATTGACTTTCTTTCCTGGGGGCCTGGGATTCGGGGTTCCTTGGGGTACGCTACTTGGTACTACAGAATTGCTCGATCCTTCAATTATTCGGATGTTGTTGTGTGATTATAAATAGTTGTCCGTTCCAATATACAGGATTGTATAAATGTACATATGAATACTTGGTTGCGACTACTTATTCTTGCTTTTAGTACAAAAATTATTTAGCTATGTTGAACAGTGTGAAAGTTCGCAGGTTGAGTGTAGTTTTCGGGTTTCGAAGCTGACCCCTGGAATCGCTGCTGCTGCAAAAGAGAGAGGTGAATTTGGGTTAGCTGTGGGCTGATAACCGGAAGAGTGGGACAAGGTCTAATGGCACATGATCGGTGGGCCTAAAACAGGCGCAAATGATATGGATATAAATCGACTACCCCGTCCCGCCCCCTTTTCGCATGCGGGGAACAAAGAAGGCGGCAAAGCAGTGCAGGGACACGCACACACAGACGCATGCTCACACACACTTGCGCACACAAAAAACACGGGGAGAGTGAGTGCGCTATCTTCATAGCGCGAGAGAAAAAGAGAGAAGGGGGTGGGAAAGGGCAGGGGAAAGAGACTGCCTGCCTTTATAACAAAGCGAATGGCCAACAATTGACAATAGCCATTCATTCGCAACGAATTTGCGGGCCTTGCAAAATGATTTAGTTTATAATTAATAAATTTCTGTATTCACATTATCCAAATTCTTTTTGGGCCACTCACGCATAGCACACACAAACGCACACTCAGGCACGCCAACGAAAAAGGGGGCGAAAGGAGAACGGCGAAAATCGACTAGAAGATGAATGACCGTCGATAACAAAATGAGGAGAAAGAAAAACAGGAAAAAGGAAGAGAAAGATGTGGGAAATTTTGCGAAACCGGCGGGCGGGCGGCACACACGGTTGCATTAGATTTGGGTTCTTGTTGTTCGCTCTTTGCGAAATCAAATTTTAATGTTTAAAGCACTAAACTTGATTTTGATTATTTCTGCGACGACTACGGCGGCGGCGATAGAAAATGTCAGTCAAAGTCACAGAACCGAAGAGACGGCGAAAAGGGAATGGCGGGGTGGTTTTTGTTGCTCATTTGCTGCTTATTTTCTTCGTCTCTTTTTCGCACACACACACCGACACATTAGCACCGATACGCACACACACACGCACAGAGAGGCGTCTTGCGCTGGTCTTTTTGTTTGCGTTTTGCTCACATGAGTCGCCACTTTTCTTTTGCTTTTGCTTTTTATTCGCTTTTGGCTATTGAGTGTATTAAAACTAATGCCAATATACCAATACCAAGGCGATTTGAATGCGGGACTTTTCATTTGCCTTTTCAGCTTGCCGCTATATCTACGTATATGTATGTATCTTGTTCGCTTTTGTGCTGCCATCTTTTAATGCCGCTCCCCCGCCTCCGTCGACCGCCACGCCCCCGCCCCGACCCTGCTGCCTACCAGCGATGCCGAAAACTGGGCTTAACTCGTCCCCACAATCGCCGCACTTTAGTGCATTCGTTAATGTCCATTGTTCAAACTCGGATTTCGCTGCCAAAATCCGCACTCTCTTCTTTTTGATTTAATGCGCTCTCTGTGACGTGGCTGCGTTTGTAAATTTACCGCATTTTATTTGCTCTGCACTCTGTTCGCACACTTAAATTGACGGTCAAGTTTAGCCGCTACCGGTTTGTATTAAATTTGCGAAACTTTCAATGTTTTTAAGGGCTGCAAATTTACATTGAACGCGTCGCTAAAATTTTACCTTCGTCGTCTAAAATGCGAACTAATTAATGAGATTTTGTGTGCGAGAGCCAGGGCTGCCAACTTGCTGGGAAATAAAAACGCAATGGCGGCAAGCTAGGAAATGCAATGAAAAGTATGGAATTGACACGGTTTTGTTATATTATTACTTACTTAGGAGTATTTAATGGGTTTTCAGCGGTAATATAACAAAGATCACACCTTAATTCGGGAGTTTAAGGCATTTAAGACAATGTTATCGAAAGAGGGGCAACCCTAGGGCAGCCGATAACGCTTGCATCACCGCTTTCTCTTTCTAGCACACGCACTGCGGACGCAGATGCAGCACAAAGCGGAGTAGAACTAGCAATCGTTATCGAAAAGGGAGAGTGTCGAAATGGGCATAAATATTTTTATAAACACTAAATATATAATTTCTTGTGGGGATCACATTAAATATGATGAGCTGTGCAGCCGGATTGCGGAGAACACAGTGAGTAAGTGATGTATGAATTTCAAAAGATTTTCTAATGGTGTCTTCATTTCACAGAACCTGCAACCAGAGGATTACTACCTAATGAGCAATGGCAAACGCTTGGAGGGAGAACTTACGTCTGGAGATGTTCACTGTGTTCTGCGTCAGCTCGGCGGCAAAGGAGGATTCGGCTCCATGCTTCGAGCAATTGGTGCCCAAATTGAAAAGACTACCAATCGCGAGGCTTGCCGCGACCTGAGTGGACGTCGTTTGCGGGATATCAACGAAGAAAAGCGGGTGCGCGCCTGGCTGGACAAGCAGGGCGAGCGGGAACGGGAGGCCGAGGAGCGAAAAAAGCGAAAGATCGAAAAACTGCTGGCCGTGCCCAAACACGACTTTAAGGACGATAAGTACGAGGAGGCCAGGGCTAATCTAACCGAAAAGGTTAACGACGCCTTCGAAGAAGGACTCAAGCAGGCCGAGGAGAACAAGGACAAAGGGGTCGAGGAAGCCTCTGCTAGTGGCACCAAAAGAAAATCCCCCGCCGAAGACAAGACCAAGGCCAAAAAAAAGAAAAAGGGCACACTCTGGATAGGCGATGATATCTCTGGATCCGACTCTGACGACAGCGAGGAGGAGTCAGAAACACAGAAAAAAGCCATACAAAACTAGATAAATAACTTTTGTAATTAGTATGTACATAAGACGTTCTTACATTACATTTATTTGAAATTAAAGCAGCCCATAATAATATACTTTTTTATTTAAAACTTGAAAGATTTAGATTTAATATTAAGAGGATAATTTAGTAATTTATAAATATACACTTTAAAGACAAAGAGAATGAAAAATCACGGTGACACAAACTGCGAAGAAACCCAGGCCAATCCCCATTTCAGGTTGGTCAGCATGAACTTCAGTGCCTTGGTCCACTGCTCCTCCGAGTTAAACTGGATTCTGTAAGGAAACCATCATTAGTATCCATAAAATCGTTGCCACTTCGGAACCTACTTGATAGAATAGGAATTTCCCGTTGAGGGATCGATGATCTTGCCCTTCTCCATTTTGTAGGGCAGCAGGAACTCGGTGTCGCGCTTCTCGACCTCCTTCTGGAACTGGGTGAGGCAGTCGAGGAAAGCCACCATGGCAGCATCAAACTTGGTGTCCCAGAAGAACTTAAATCCGCCGCTACCATAGAGCGGGAGCTCTCGATTCTCGCCGAGCACCTCAACATACGAATGATTTCCAAAGGGTACCACGCGATACCGCTCGAAAGTGAGGCCAATCTTACGAGCAAGCGCAGATAGCAGGAGCACCGTCTGCCCCCAAGCGGCGTTGATCTCTGACCAATCCACGGATACAGAGGGCAAGCGACCCAGCCTAAAGTTATTAATGGTACCGAAATGCCCGGCATGCCAGATGTGAAAGGTGATGTTGAATATGTTGGTGTCGCGCAGTTTGTCTAGCTGCTGTTTCGAGTGGGCAATCTGACTCTCCAGACTTCGTTTGTCGTCTTCGGTGAGCATAAGCTCACGCCTGTGCTTGGTGTACTCGCGCCAGTAGCTTTCCTCCTGCTCATGCAGCTCCTCTCGCTCCTGTTCCTCCTGGGCAATGGCATCATTTAGCGATTGTTCCTCCTTTTTGAGCTCTGTCAGCTCCGACAGTAGCTGCTGCTCACTGCGCTTTAGTTCATCAAGCTCCTTGTCCAGAGCCTCAACGTTAGGTGCTTCACGCTGTTGCTCCAGTTCGTCCAAATATGCCTTGTACACATCCCATTCGTCCTCGGCGATGCGTAGTTCCCTGTCCATGATTTCCAGCATTGAGTCGGCACACTCCTCGCACAGCGGATGGTCAATCTCAGAGTTGGAAGAGAGGCAGTCGAAGAGCTCCGCTTTCAGCTTGAAAGCAGCACTCATTTTTTTGTTGTCTCTGCCATCGGAAACCAGCATGAACCCGGTGCCATTTATAGAGTCCGTAAGCCTGTAGGGAGGTACAAAGTGGTCGAAGCTGCTGGCGTCCTGGGGGTCCAAAGTATTACCATTGTCTCCGTAGATGGGCACTGTAAAGACGGAATTATTAGAGGGATTTCCAGTGTTTATCACCCATTACCTACAAGACAACTCCGCCATTGCGTGCACGCTAATCTTATTCAGCTGCTCGTCCAGGACGATGGGCTGCAGGCAGCGCTGACAGGCGAAGGACACCGCCTGCTTTTCCGCCTCGCTCATGGTCGCTGCTGTTTGTTGTCCTTCGATTTTTGCATACAATTAAATCTTTCACCGAGTGTGAAAACACAAATAATTCATCAGCTGATGGCAACGGCTGCTAGAGTTGCCACCCCCTCCGATAAAGAGTGTGGAAAAATGGCGCAGTTAATCGGACAGTAAATTGTCAACCAACAACAACCTAGGACAGTAAAAAAGAAAAAAAATAACAAAAAACCAGTTTTAAACAAAAACATTGCCTAATAGTGTCCGCCGAAGAGGCTCAAGCGTGCCGCGGAGCTGCAGGCCTTGACCAAAATTTCCGCTGATAAGAGAGAACTCGAGAGGTTTGGCGTTTGGTTTGTTTTGGTAAGCAAAGAACATTAGACGAAGTGTCGTCGCCAGTGCTGCTAGCCAGCCTAGCTATTTTTTAAGTGCTGATCTTACCAAATATTCGCTAGTAACAAGATCTAAAAGTATAAATTATATAAATAATAGTGCTAATCTAGGCAAGCTAATTTGAGAAGATTAATGGTTTGAAGAACGTACCAAAACAGATGATTTCATAGGACTTATAATATTTTTTGTGAACTCAACTACTTTATCAAAAATATTATTAATTATTAATTTACCAAAATTATAACACAGTGCCAAAAACAAGCAATACATATACATTTAAATTAGATTACGTCAGTTGAGCGAATGTAGTACTTAAAACTTTGAAATGACGTATTTAGCACCCCACATCTAGGCAAAGTATTAAAGGTTAAGGACATTAATTTTCGCAATCTTTGAGTTATTTAGCACCCCACATCTAAGCAAAGTATTAAAGGTTAAGGACATTGATTTTCGCAATCTTTGTATTGCTGGTAAGCCACAAACAATGATAAGCAAAGAATTTCCAAGAGCGGAATGAAAACAAAGCAATATTAATTAACTAAATAGAGAAACTGATACAGATTTGCAATTAAAGCTTGACATAACTACATAAAGTGTATTGCTAAGCAAAATTTAGTTTTTGAAAAGTTTCCGTTATCAAGTTCGAAATTTCTAACAATAGGGCAGCTCGAATTTGGTCGCTTATAATCTAGCTTTTAAAAGATGGCAGCACTGCCGTGGTCACATTGTAGCTTCTTCGTATTAGACGACCCATGGAAAACTTTCAGTCTCTTGCAGGCAGCACAGCGATACGGAAGCAACAATTGAAGCGCCCAGAACTCCTCCTCCCACGAACATTTAAATTCTGACACAAGAGGACTGACTGAACCAGAATTCCCCTTCACCGAATGCTAGTGTTTTAAATTGCAACTGTTCCTAGGTTCCGACCGAATCTCTAGATTTGCGGATCTACGCCGCTCAGTCGCTCAAAAGCCAGCCAAATTTATCGCGCCAGATTAAACAAACAGAAACAAAAAACAGAAGCCGAGACCAGTTCCACATCGTGCCATTTTTATCTGGGCATATAGGCATACATACGTGATTACGTGATTAGTGCGGCGGGGGCAGCCGTTTATCAATAGCGAGAGCAACAATGGTTTCCTACTTTATACCTCGTGGCCGCTTCCTGCTGAAAGCCGGCAATCTTAGACAGGTGGTGCAGCAGCAGCATCAGCCGGCCCAGCTACAGCTACAGCCCAACAAAGGACCACAGCCGCAGGCTCAGAATGCGAGTCTGCCAGTGGCCCGTCACTTGCGCCAGTTCTCCTCGAATCAAGCCTCCAAGGAGGCACCACTACACCACCGGCTCCCGCAGCCTAAACAGCAACCGAATCCTAGTCAGGAGTTAGCTCAGATCCGGCGCAATATACTCTCGCGGTGGACAGGATTCCTGTTGCGTTGGGCTCCTATGGGCATTTGCGTGTTCGGCGCCATCGAGTGGCAGTTGCAGAAGAATCGCTGCGAACGGGATGGAAAACCACGGACAGCGTCTGAACTCCAGTCGCGCATATACTGCTCCCTCCCACTGCGCATAATTAGCCGATGCTGGGGCTGGCTGGCCGCTTGCTACTTGCCTCCGAGTCTGCGACCCTATGTCTACGGATGGTATTCCAACACGTTCAACGTCAATCTAAGCGAAGCCATGTATCCGGAGTATGAGCACTACAATAGTCTGGCTGAGTTCTTTACCAGGCCGCTTAAGGAGGGCGTTCGTGTCATCGATCAGCAGGCCCCGCTGGTCTCCCCCGCCGACGGTAAGGTTCTACATTTTGGCAGCGCCTCGGACTCGCTGATCGAGCAGGTCAAGGGTGTGAGCTACAGCATCGAGGACTTCCTTGGCCCACTGGAGACTGTAGAGCAAGCCAACTCCGGTGCCTCCTATGCTCAGGCCCTCAAAAAGAAGAGCGATGGTTCTACAGAGCTGTACCAGTGCGTAATATATCTGGCTCCCGGAGATTACCACCGATTCCACTCTCCTGCCGCTTGGAAGCCTACCATTCGTCGTCATTTCTCCGGTGAACTGCTGTCCGTGAGTCCCAAAGTGGCCGGCTGGCTGCCTGGTTTGTTTTGCCTCAACGAACGTGTGCTATACATGGGCCAATGGAAACACGGATTCTTCTCCTATACCGCCGTGGGTGCCACTAACGTGGGATCCGTCGAAATCTACATGGATGCCGATCTGAAGACGAACCGGTGGACTGGATTCAATGTCGGCAAGCATCCGTCCAGCACCTACGAGTACGATGAACTGGTCCTGAACAAGGAACGAACAGAAGCGCCCAAGGAGTTCGGCAAGGGCGATCTGGTGGGTCAGTTCAACATGGGGAGCACCATTGTCCTGCTCTTCGAGGCGCCAAAGAACTTCAAATTCGATATTATTGCCGGCCAGAAGATCCGCGTTGGTGAGTCCCTTGGCCACATCGTCGGCTCCAAATGAAAATAGAAGCCACAATTCTGTACCGTATCAGTGCAAAGTCCTGTCCCTCATCTGTTCACATCACTTGTTGTATTAGCATCAGACGCTCGTGTCCTAGGCAAATGTATTTTGTGAACATCCTGCGAAGCTAACTCTGTGTATTGTTGCCATTTCAGTAGTCATAAGCTATATTTTATACAATAAACGTCGAAATATATTTGAGAACAACAACAGACCATCAATTAACTCATTCAGGCACGCGCTTCTTAATTAGAACACTGTTTGTTGAGGTGGGGCGTTATCAGGGGGCGTTTTGATAAGAGATACCGGGCCGATTCGCAGTCGTTGAACCCCTCGTTGCTGAGGATTCAGAAAGCCTAAGTCTGTCTGTCGCAAGCTTATCGGGCCAAATATCGCTCCCCGGGGGTCCACACTCACCTCCTTTGCGGATGCCACGCTATCAGTGAACCTGAAAATGAACCAAACCCATTCTGTCTAGACGAACGCGTGCCGCTGCCGACGAAAAGATGACCAGTCGTCTATACCTTGCGCCACCCAGTGTGTTTACATGAGCGCAGAATCCGGGATCGCAATCCATTTCGTTTAATTGATTCAATCAAGCCCCGACGCCGGGAATCTTGTTCGCTGAACTTATCAGGCGGTGACGGGTGATTTGGTCCCTGGCCTTGACACACACGAAGTCTGTGAGTGTTATTTATTCGGCCTGGCAACAGATTGATGCGAACCGATCATCTGCGTCAGCGGCTTTGGGGCAATCAATAAGGGAATTTCTCCTGCAGTGCTGTAAATGTCTAAATAAATGTATTAATCGCTGGATTTCCACCTTTCGAAGCCATTTGTTGTGCATTAAAAAACAATAGGAAATTGTTTTGTTTTTGCACATCACCCCATATTCATATCAAATGCTGATTTTTGGGTTAATTTTAAAAGTGCGCGCCAAATCAACCTATCTGCTAAACTCACCACACTGTGCAATGAGGTGAATTGGGATGAACAGCTGACAGCCGGCATTCATTTGTTGTTCTTTGTGATTTTACGTAATATTAATATTTATTGTGAATTTATTTGTTTATAAAGCACATTAAAATGATGATGCGACACTGTATGATGGCCTTGAGGGTCGCCAGATCCCAGATCCCGCCTAGCACCGCCAGGAGCACTCAAAGCAATCTTCTCCAGCGTTTCTATAGCAGTCAAGCTCCTAAAATTGGAATCGTGGACTACGATGTGGTCAAGAAACTGCCCAGCGAACCACAGAAACTGCTCATCGATGTTCGGGAGCCGGAGGAGCTAAAGGAAACTGGACAAATCCCCGCCAGCATCAACATTCCTCTGGGTGTGGTTAGCCAGGAATTGGCGGCCAGTGAGCAGAGCTTCAAATCCAAATATGGCCGGGAAAAACCAAAGTCTGATACGGAGATTATATTCCACTGCAAGATTGGCAAAAGGAGCCTTAAGGCTGCAGAAGCTGCCGCCGCTTTGGGATTCAAGAATGTAAAGAACTACCAGGGATCTTGGCTGGATTGGGCCGAACGAGAGGGCCTGCCAAAGTAAATAACATTGCTATGCGAATGTATTATTATTTTGGAGAGCTATTCCAGTCTCCCAAACAACAGGATTACTCATGTTTAAAAATAAACAATTGCATGTGCTTTGGCAAGTTATAAATAATATTTATTAATACTACTTAATAGCATATTGGAACTAAGATATTTTTAGATACTCGAGTATTTTTGGTTATGAGATCAACATAAGGGGACTTTGTTTGAATTAGTCCACCTCCTCGACAGTGGGACCCTTGTAACCGCCTGCTTGCTGTCCACAGTTTGGAGCCTGCTGCCCGTCTCCACCACCCTGGTGCATCTTGGTCATGATGGGGCTGCAGAACTGGGTCAGTTCCTTCAGCTTGTACTCGTACTCCTCCTTCTCGGCGGTGGTGTTGCTGTCCAACCACTTCACCGCCTCGCTGCAGCGCTCCAGAATAGTACTCTTGTCGGTGGCACTGATGCGATCGCCACCATTTTCGGCCGCCTCCTTTACACTGAACACATAGCTCTCCAGTTGATTGCGGGCGGAGATCCGCTGGCGATGGCGTTCGTCCTCCTCGGCGTACTTCTCCGCCTCACTGAGCATGCGGTCGATGTCCGCCTGCGACAGACGACCCTTGTCGTTCTTGATGGTTATGTTCTTGGCGTTTCCAGTGCCCTGCTCCTTGGCGGTCACATTCAGGATACCGTTTGCGTCCAAATCGAAGGTAACGTCGATTTTGGGCACTCCTCTGGGTGCGGGCGGAATGCCAGTCAGATTGAAGGTGCCCAACACATTGTTGTCCTTGGTGAGAGCCCTCTCGCCCTCAAACACTTGAATGGTCACCGCCGGCTGGTTGTCGGCGTACGTGGTGAAGGTCTTGGACTGCTTGCACGGAATGCGGCTGTTGCGTTCAATCAGCTTGGTCATTACGCCGCCAGCGGTTTCGATGCCCAACGATAGCGGGGCAACATCGACCAGTAGGACGTCCTTGATCTGGCTGCTCTCGTCGCCCGACAGAATGGCTGCCTGGATGGCTGCTCCGTAGGCAACTGCCTCGTCCGGATTGATTGACAAGTTTAGGCTCTTTCCGCCGAAGAAGTTCTGTAGCAGGTTCTGAACCTTGGGAATACGAGTTGAGCCTCCAACCAGGACTATGTCATGGATCTGGTTCTTGTCCATCTTGGCGTCATTGAGTGCCTTCTCTACTGGCTCCAGTGTGTTGCGGAAGAGGTCACCGCACAGTTCCTCGAATCTGGCGCGGCTCACTTTGGAGTAAAAGTCGTGTCCCTCGAAAAGGGCGTCAATCTCCAGAGAAGCCTCCGTGCTGGAGGAAAGGGTGCGCTTAGCGCGTTCGGCTGCCGTGCGAAGGCGACGTAGTGCTCGTGGGTTGGAGCGCAGATCCTTCTTGTACTTGCGCTTAAACTCCTCGGCAAAGTGGTTAACCAATCTGTTGTCAAAGTCCTCGCCACCTAGATGGGTGTCTCCGGCCGTGGAGCGCACCTCAAACAGAGATCCCTCATCAATCGTCAAGATGGAGACGTCAAAGGTACCACCGCCCAGATCGAAAATAAGCACATTACGTTCTCCCTTCAGATTCTTGTCCAGGCCGTAGGCCAGTGCGGCCGCGGTTGGCTCGTTGATGATGCGGAGCACATTGAGTCCAGCGATGGCGCCAGCATCCTTTGTTGCCTGGCGCTGGGAGTCGTTGAAGTAGGCCGGCACGGTGATGACAGCGTCCTTCACTGCAGTGCCCAGGTAGGCTTCTGCAGTTTCCTTCATTTTGGTGAGCACCATCGAGCTAATCTCCTCAGGAGCGAAGCGCTTCTCCGCTCCCTTGAACTCGACGCTCATCTTTGGCTTGCCATTGTCGTTGATTACTTTGAACGGCCAGTGCTTCATGTCCTCCTGGATCTTGGAATCGTCGAAACGACGTCCAATCAGACGCTTGGCATCGAAGACCGAGTTTTTCGGGTTCATGGCCACCTGGTTCTTGGCGGCATCTCCAATGAGGCGCTCCGAGTCCGTGAAAGCCACGTACGATGGTGTGGTACGGTTACCCTGGTCGTTGGCGATGATCTCCACCTTTCCGTGCTGGAAGACACCCACGCAGGAGTACGTGGTGCCCAAATCGATTCCAATGGCTGGCATCTTGGCTGTTTCTCTTGCTTTATGGCTTAAACTTGGCTGCGTGTTCTTATGGATAGTTTTCACTTAATTCAATTTTTTGAGTTTTTCCTTTTCTACTTCACTTGGTAAAGACTTTTCGGTTTTCAACTGTCACTCTGAATTGCAAGCTTTATTTTTCGTTTGCTGAAGTGTTTTCACTTTGGCTGTTTGATTTCAAATGTAGCGGTTGGGAAATTTGCGCCGCTATTTATACTCAGTCGCCAGGAGGGGAAAATTCGAGATTTCCCTGCGAGAAAAGGCCAGAACATTCCAGTCAGTTCGCCTAAGTGCGAGCGAGTTAACTAGTGTGCACTTTGCAGGGGAAATTGTCAGTTAAAGGAGTAGAAAGTTCAGGAACAATTGAGGGATATATTTTTTTATTGTCATAGGTCAGCATTCTAAGTGGGCAAAAAAACTAAATTCGTATGAAAGCTATTTTTAGCTGATTAACGTATTAATACTTAAGCCATTCATATTTTTAGATTTTGTTTATTTGGCTTATTGACGTCTCTATAGCTACATATGTACATGTGCAAGAATATGTACCATACTCATATATGTATGTTTCTTCTGTTTGGAATATTTCCCCTGCAGAATAGTCATATGTATGTACATACAATTAGTTAGTTGATCGTACTTTTAAAATCGTAATTGTTTCAAATTTCTAGAAAATACAAACACGGCTATATCATGTTTAAATAGAACGTGTATGTACATAGAGCTTACTCAATAATTCAACTTATTTTAATCTGATTTTGAAGTGGCATACCTCTAAATGTTTCTGGCGCAATTGCCTAAAAATCTGCATTAAATTTACGTTACGTTATTTTACATATATACATAGATATGTAATTATATGCCTATCATGTCCATGACACTTCGATGGTCTAATATCAAACATCTAGAAAATAACTTTTTTAATTGAACAAAGCAGTAATATTTGTTTTGAATCAAAAATTCCTTATGTTTGCATAGTCTTAAGATAATAAACTAATAATTTATTAAAAACTGTATTTGTTTACAAGTTGCATTTTGTAAACAAAGGCGACCGATAGCAATCGGCTGTGATTAAATCTATATGGACATTGTACTATCGCCCAAGTGCCCTATCGATAGTTTGTTTTCTACACCTTACCATCTCTAGCGTCTGATATTGGTGGCGTTAGCTAGATACGGTCATACTGTCATAAAAGAAAAAAAAGTTAATTTCGCGCTCATATTGTTATTTTTCTTGGATATTTTCTGCAACCGAGCGTGTGAATGACTGAAGAGGACGACGATGTGGCCCAGAGGGTGGCGACAGCGCCCATCCGCAAGCCGGACGACGAGACGGCCTTCCTGGAGTACATCGAAATGGAGAACTTCAAGTCCTACCGCGGTCACATAGTTGTGGGTCCTCTGAAGCAATTCAACGCGGTTATTGGACCCAATGGATCCGGCAAGTCCAACTTCATGGATGCCATTAGTTTCGTGATGGGCGAGAAGACCAGCAGTTTGCGAGTAAAGCGCCTGAACGACCTGATCCACGGCTCCTCCATTGGCAAGCCCATTTCCCGCAGCTGCTACGTGACGGCCAAGTTTGTGCTCAATCAGGAGCGCCACATGGACTTCCAGCGGGCTGTTATCGGCGGCTCCTCGGAATACCGCATCAACGGAGAGGTTCGTGTTGACAAACAATTCTCTTATAAGCCACTTAATTCATTCTCTATTTAGAGCGTATCGAGCAGCACGTACTTGAACAAGCTGGAGAAAATTGGCATCAATGTTAAGGCCAAGAACTTTTTAGTATTCCAAGGAGCTGTTGAGAACATAGCCATGAAGACACCCAAGGAACGTACGGCTCTGTTTGAGGAAATTAGCGGGTAACTTTTAAGCTCATGCCAAAAATCATTGATTTTCTAGCCCGTGTTTACTTTTCCAGTTCTGGCCTGCTTAAGGATGACTATAATCGCCTCAAGCAGGAAATGATTGTGGCCGAGGAGGAGACCCAGTTTACATACCAAAAGAAAAAGGGCATCGCTGCAGAACGAAAAGAGGCCAAACACGAAAAGATGGAAGCCGATCGCTACACTCGCCTGCAAAACGAATACGTATGATTTTATGATTTTGTTTTCTTTGAACTCGATCCAATTAGTTACATCTTTTTATACCAACAGAATGAGAAACAAGTGGAGTATCAACTGTTTAGGCTATTCCACGTGGAGAGGGACATCCGGAAGTTTACGGGCGATTTGGAAGTGAGGCAGCAGGAAGTAAAAGTAGTCGAACAGCGAAAAGAAGCCGCTGATGAAATATTGCGCGAAAAGAAAAAAGATGCCGGAAAGATAACCCGAGACCTGGCCAAAATCGATCAGGAAATCAGAGAGTTTGAAACCCAGATGAACAAACGAAGGCCGCTTTACATCAAGGCAAAAGAGAAAGTTACCCACTGCAAAAAGAAGCTCGTCTCCCTACAGAAGACTCTGGAAACTGCCAGAGAGGCGGACAATGCCCATCAGTCGGACATACGGAAACTGGAGAAGCAGCTGGCTGATGTGGAGGCCCTGAAAAAACGTTTTGAGGACGAGATCGAGAACGAGTCGCAGCGCCGGGGCAAAAGCGTCAACATGGAAGAGGGTCTTGTGCAAGAGTATGATCGCCTGAAGCAGGAGGCGGAGGCTACAGCTACGCAGTACCGTTCAGAACTGGACTCAGTAAACCGGGAGCAAAAATCCGAACAGGACACGCTTGATGGAGAGACAAATCGTCGCGCCTCCGTTGAGGAGTCTTTCAAGAAGCTCACATTACAGCGCGAGGAAGCTGTAAAGCGTCGAGACAAACTGATGGATCATATCAAATCATCCCAGGCCGCCTTGGAGGAGCAGAACCGGATCAAGGACGAGCTCCGTCGAGATGTTGGCACATCCAAGGAAAAGATTGCCGAAAAGCAACGCGAGCTGGAGGACGTACGCGATCAACTGGGCGATGCCAAGAGCGATAAGCACGAGGATGCTCGTAGAAAAAAGAAGCAGGAGGTGGTGGAGCTCTTTAAAAAACAGGTTCCAGGAGTATACGACCGTATGATTAACATGTGTCAGCCCACGCACAAGCGCTACAATGTGGCCGTCACCAAAGTTTTGGGCAAGTTCATGGAAGCCATCATTGTGGACACCGAGAAGACGGCTCGACACTGCATTCAGGTGAGTTTAACTTGGTCAGCTGGTATTTTTATACATAAGTACATTGCTAATTTTATTTCTTGTATAGATCTTGAAGGAGCAAATGCTGGAAGTGGAAACCTTCTTGCCCTTGGACTATCTGCAAGTTAAACCTCTGAAGGAACGACTTCGTAACATCAGCGATCCACGTAACGTGCGATTGGTGTTCGATGTACTAAAATTTGAGCCTCAAGAGATCGAACGAGCTGTCCTCTTTGCCACAGGCAACGCTCTTGTCTGTGAGACTCCCGAAGATGCCATGAAAGTGGCCTACGAGATAGACCGATCACGTTTCGATGCTCTGGCTCTGGACGGAACATTCTACCAGAAATCGGGTCTCATATCTGGCGGCAGTCACGATCTGGCTCGCAAAGCCAAGCGTTGGGACGAGAAGCATATGGCTCAGCTGAAAATGCAGAAGGAGCGCCTCCAAGAAGAGCTCAAGGAGCTGGTGAAAAAGTCACGTAAGCAGAGTGAGCTCGCCACTGTGGAGTCGCAGATCAAGGGTCTGGAAAACCGGCTTAAATATAGTATGGTCGATTTGGAGTCCTCCAAGAAGTCAATTAGTCAGTATGACAATCAGTTGCAGCAGGTCCAAACCCAGTTGGATGATTTCGGAGTGAGTTCACATTTCAAATTTCTAAATAGCACCTTAGTTATAATATATTTTATCTCAATTTTGCAGCCCAAGATCCTTGAGATCGAGCGTCGGATGCAAAACCGCGAAGAGCACATCCAGGAAATCAAGGAAAACATGAACAATGTGGAGGACAAAGTGTATGCCTCTTTCTGCCGCCGCTTGGGCGTGAAGAACATCCGGCAGTACGAGGAACGTGAGCTGGTCATGCAGCAGGAGCGAGCGCGTAAGCGGGCCGAGTTCGAGCAGCAGATAGATTCCATAAACTCGCAGCTGGACTTCGAGAAACAGAAGGACACGAAAAGTAAGTATATAAAATAATATGCTTTTAAATTTCCTAACCAAATGCCATCCCAGAGAACGTTGAGCGCTGGGAGCGCAGCGTACAGGATGAGGAAGATGCTCTAGAGGGTCTGAAATTGGCCGAGGCACGATATCTGAAGGAAATCGACGAAGACAAGGAAAAAATGGAAAAGTTCAAGCAGGACAAACAGGCCAAGAAGCAAGCCGTGGATGACATGGAGGAGGACATATCTAAAGCCCGCAAGGATGTGGCAAACTTGGCCAAAGAAATCCATAACGTGGGCAGTCATTTATCTGCAGTAGAGTCTAAGATCGAGACCAAGAAAAACGAACGCCAGAATATACTGTTGCAAGCAAAAGTAAGTTGAAGTAATTATTTCGTAATTATTTTTGCGTTATGTGTTATTCACTCCGTAGACCGATTGCATCGTAGTGCCACTGTTGCGCGGCTCGCTGGACGACGCAGTGCGACAAAGCGATCCGGATGTCCCATCCACGTCTGCAGCAATGGAAAATATGTAAGTGTATTAAAACAACTCAATTATAATACCTAATTAATGTATTTCCAGTATTGAAGTGGATTATTCATCTCTACCACGAGAGTATACAAAGCTGAAGGATGACTCCGCCTTCAAGAAGACCCACGAATTGCTCCAAAAGGACCTGCAAAGCAAGCTGGACGTCTTGGAGCGCATACAGACGCCCAACATGAAGGCCCTACAGAAACTCGATGCCGTAACGGAAAAGGTGCAATCCACCAACGAAGAGTTTGAAAATGCCCGAAAGAAAGCAAAGAAGGCCAAGGCGGCATTTGAACGGGTGAAGAACGAACGCTCCTCTCGTTTCGTTGCCTGTTGCCAGCACATATCGGACGCCATTGATGGTATCTACAAGAAATTGGCTCGCAACGAGGCAGCTCAGGCCTATATCGGTCCTGATAATCCAGAGGAACCATATCTGGATGGTATTAACTACAATTGTGTGGCGCCCGGCAAACGTTTCCAGCCCATGAATAACTTGAGTGGTGGCGAAAAAACAATCGCGGCCTTGGCCCTGCTCTTCTCCACCCACAGGTATGTGGATATGATAAATTGCGACAGCTTGAAACCAAATATTAATATTTTTATATGCAGCTTTCATCCAGCGCCGTTCTTTGTCCTTGACGAGATTGATGCCGCCTTGGACAACACGAATATCGGCAAGGTCGCTTCGTATATAAGGGATCACACAACCAACCTGCAGACCATCGTTATCTCCTTGAAGGAAGAGTTCTACGGTCATGCTGATGCTCTTGTGGGCATTACGCCTGGGGTAGGTAATCAAGTGGTGTCAAGTTGAGCCGAGTCTAAATTTGGTTTACCCTTTCAGGAAGGTGACTGCCTCGTATCAAATGTTTACATCATGGACTTGACAATGTTTGAGGACACGTAAAGTTCATATGTCGGATGTATATTAAGTTTTAGATGTAACTTTCAAGTAAATCTCGGGATTTCCAAATAATAAACCCAGTAAATGTGTAAACGTGCGACTTTGAAATCTATTCCATTATACTCAAGTAATTCAGCAATTATACTTACTTCAAGCAAAGATAGGAACCACTTAGTTGTTTCGAAAATATGTTCTGCAACTTTAATAGTTTCCTTTATTTAGGCTTGCGTTGGTTGTACTGTACCGGAGAAAATTAAATGTGTTCGGATGTGTGAAATAATGGTTCGATTGATGGATGTTTTTGGTATATGTAAAACAACTGGGTTTTTGCTTTTAGTTTCAATTTTTAGTTTTTCTCTTTTTTTTTCTTCACGTAAAAAACTTTTTTGTATTTCTTCAAGAACAAAAACAAACAATTTGATTATTCAGTTTCGGTGTGTATCATTAATTTAAAATAATCATTGCAAACAGATAAATACAGCATCGGCTAGTTGGTGTGTCAGTTTCATTGATTCATTACTTTGTGTGTTGGCGGCCTGTCGACTATGGCGATAATCGATAAGGCTACAATACAAGGGCACGCCTGTGGAAGAGGTGGTCCAATCGTGTTGAGGGTTTGAGATAAGGTTTGGTTAAATTAATACAAAATAAACTAGGGTAGATAAGCCAGATTCTAGATTCTTCGGGCTTCGGCTTTGGGCAGTTTTGGGGACACTGATTTTCTTTAATAGGGAATGCCTAATGTATACTTTATACATACGAACTAAAATATTTATGGCGTTTCATATATACACACACTTTGTAAATTCGTTTAAAATACAAAGATTTGTCTCATTAGCGCTTAAATATTAATTTGCCTTTCTGTGGATTTGTTGTTCGGGTTGTCCTCGTTGTCGATGCGGCATTCATGGTTGGTGTTTTGATTCCGATCAGGATGAGATGTTCTGGTGTGTCCAGGTTGGTTTATTGTGCTCGCTGTTGGTGTAACTCCTGTCTGTGCTGTCGATGAACTTGTGACTGTTGCTGCTTTCACTAGCGACTTATATTATCTGTTTGTGTAATTATTGTTTTTGTTTTTCTTTTGTTTATAGTTATTCACTGAATTTCAGCTTTTCAATGGGCCTTTATTACTGCAAAATAAAAATTGAAGAATATTTGTAATTTAATTAGATGATTAAATAATGACCAATGCTGGGGTTTCCCTTCCCAAATCATTATGCTTATTAAATTCACGAATATCTTGATCATGATCTGCCATATCTTGAATTAAAGCCGTATCGATTTCGATTAAAGAGGTTTCCCAGCTTACGATTTCGACGTCTCGGTCTGCGTATGGTACAGGTGGTATTCGAATTACCAGATTAGTTTACGTTAATTATGACATGATTCTCTGCTAGCTACAAGCTTATCGAGTTGGCGGATATAGTAAAACCTTGCGCATACTCACATTGAAACATATTTAAGGCTATCACAGTGTATCTTATACTCCATTGCCGTTGTTAGAGGTATATTTAATATCCTGCGTAACGTATCACGGATACGTGTTGTACTGGTCATATCAGTGGCAGTCCGGTTCCATACTGATAAGCTATCCTCCTGCAGGTGAAACGAAATATTAGTAATTAGTAATAGTTGTTGCGCATTATAGGTAACGAGCTCAGGAAACCATGCCATGTCGTAAGACGAGTAAGTAAAAACACCTTTTATAACGTTTTTGTTTAATACTTTTTATTTCTCAATCAATATGTAAGGAAATCATTTCACACGTCTGACCAATTGGAAATGAAAAAATTATAATAATAATAATGGTAATAAGAAACACACTTGATATTAACACAAAGGCAAATCTAATTTCTTAATTTAACTTTTGTTTTTCTCATTTCGATTTTGTTTCTTTGCTGGTTTTTAATTTAAATTTGTTTTTTTACTTTTTTGTTTGCTGTTACTGTGCTCTTCACATTACTTTCGTCGGCTGCTGTTCCATGATTTTCTTTATCTGCATTTATTAATCATACATTTATTTATGTATAAGACTAACACTTAATTATAATGTTGTTTTTTTTTTGTTTCATTACTTTTCATAAATAACTAAATTGTCTAAGAAGAGAGAAAATATATGATAATATGCAATTTGTTTTTGTTACGGATTTTTGTTGGTTTTTAATTAATTTTTTGTGTTTTTTTTTTGTTTTTGTTATTATATTATTTAAACATTTTTAACAATTATGAGTATTTGCTCAAAAACTTGACTTGAACCGCTTTTTGTAGCATTTAGCGCGGCTTGGTTTCGTGTGGTTTTGTTAGTTGAATTTTGATTTCCTTTTAAGTAGGGTTTACTGTGGTGTTCGTATGCGCTCACAAAACTAAATTGTTTTTCGCCACTAAAGTTCGTCGCTCGCCTTCTCTCTTGTTCTTAAATGGATCGTTATTTCGTATCGACTTTGCTATATATACGCATATATAATGTTTATAATCGGTTTACATATGTGGTAATGTATATATAGGTGTAGCATTACTTTTGTGTGGCTGTGTCAGTGTGGTGTTTTAAACGCTTGTTAAATTGCACATTGATATTTTAATATTTTGTAAATATTAAACATTACTTCGTTTGGTTTCATTCTTTGCTAAATTATTTGGACTATCTTCGGTATATATGTTTGTATGTATGTATAATTTATATATATGCTAATTTGTAACTATAATTAAAATATATGTATAAATATTTATTCATGTTAGTTCTCGACTTTCTTGGTTGTTTTATCATACTTGGAAATATACTTTCATTATTGCTTCTTGAATATACATATGTGAATCCCGTTAAGTATTTACTTCTTTGCGTTCGTCCTTTATTGTGATTGTGTGTGTATGTGTATGTCTCTGTGTCTGGTTTCTCCTTCATCCTGTTTGTCTTCGCTCTCTGATCCCGAATTGGTTTACTTTTGCTTGTTATTGCCATCAGTTTTGGTTGCCGATTTCGCTGATTGCTGTCGTCTGAGTGCTGAGTAAAAATGCTTCGATATGCCTGGAATTATTGTTGCAATTGCTGCTCCCAATGCACGACACATCCACAAAAAATAATCATCAATCTATCAATTCAATCATCGCACTGAAGCTACCTCTATCTGTCCCTTTCGCTCTCTTGATCTCAAGCCATGTGTGTGAGTGCGTCTGCTTGTGTTTCGACTATTGCTGGCCTCTTCTGAGGGCTGCCTGCAAGTTGGCGTTGGCAACCCTACGCAAAACAGAGTTGCATGTAACGCTTTATTCCATTCCATTCGTTCCTTTTCCACCTCCACTGTTAATTTTTTCTTTTTGAATTTTATTCAATTTTAAAGTACAATTGCACGAGCGATTTTTGTTGCACTCGTCACTAAGAATATATATATTTTTTTGTTGATTTTTTCTGGCGGTTGTTATGGAAATTGATTTGATTTGTTACTAATTATTCATATATAGAGTTGTATATATATGCGTATGTATATATAAATAGTCCAAATTATGTTAATATTAAAATTCTAATTTTTATTAATTGAACTTTTGCGCTTAAATTTAGCAATTTATTTTTTATCCTTTTCTAAGTTTATTTTTTACTTTTTCGTTCACAATCAATAAATGATAAAATGAAACAAATTATAGAAAAATATATATAATTGTCTGTATTTATTGCGGAGCCAAAACTTATAAATAAATTAGACAAGAACTAAAGCTAAACATATAAATAACAAGACAACTAAATAATAGAACCTAGAAACTTCATTATTTTTTAGTTTTGTATTAATTTTGTTAGGGTTTTGAGCTTGAGGATTGAAGAGACTCAAAATTCAATTCTTCGTATCATATTTTCATGTAAATTTGATTTGGTTGGTGAAAAGTGGAAGAAATGCGATTCAAGTAGAAAAACTAAAATGTTTTCTTCCTTTACTCCTGAAAATCGTATTAATATTATAGGTAAATTTCGTATTTTTCATCGTTTTCTCTCTTTCAATATTTTACAAACATTTCGTGTCTGAACGGAGGAGGGGTGCGTGCTTTTTTACAAGTTTAGAAACGAACACATTCACGTAGATATAGAATAACGATTAGTGTGTGGGTTGCACCCCTCCCCAGGGGTATATAGATATATCGATCTGAAGAATGCTGGGTAATAAGAAGAACACCAAGGCCCCGGCTTGAGTAGGTTGGTTTAAGGCCCAAAATGTTAGCTAGTCGAAGCCAAGCGCTCTTTTTATGTATACATAGAGAAGATATAGCACACACATAATAAATAACTAAAAGATTTTGAATGTGGGGTTCTACGCTTTGCTTTATATACGCACAACATTTACATAGAATTTGTAATTTATATATTTATAATTGGTTTTTATATAATTAGGAATATGGGGTAGGTAGGTAATCTAAATTTCAAAAATCATTTTACATATTCATTTTTTAGTAGAAAAACGCAGTTTTATCTCGTGTATACAGCAAAGTTATTTTGTTTTTTTTTCTTCGGTTTTTCTTGCTATAATTTTTAATTATTATAATTTAAATTTAATTCGAAAAATCTACTTAGTGAAATTTGTTACGTTGGTTAACAGTTTTGTATATTTTTTCATTTTTTCTGTTTTACTTGCTTTAGGTTTCTTGTTAAAGATTGATTTATATATATAACATCACATTATAATAATTACTAATTAATAGATTTGCCCTCTGCTCTTTCGTCTCCTTGTTTTGTATTTTGTTTTTAATTTTGCAATCCTAGCATTTGCGAGATGCACACATATGAATTTTCGTAATAAATATTAGATTTTGTTTACAATTTTGAGTTTTCCCAAGGTCTTACAGCTGAAATTGCTCGAGGCAAAATTCAGCGTAGACCACAATAATAATTATAATGACTATTTACATAGAAAATCGAACGTATATAAACCGAACAATCTGATTTAGCATCTGTGTGTCCAAGTGTAGTTGTCTAAAGGCCTATTGTTTCGCTTCTAAGTGGCAAATGGATACATGGCAACACGTGTCACGGGGACACAAAGGGTTAAGGGTGGGGAAATTAAATTAGGGCCAGCACTTCCACTCCTTCTGCCGCTGCCTCATTTACAGCAAATAAACTTGATGGAATTTAATTTGTGTGAACACCGAAAATGCTCCTCCGCCGCTCGTGGGTTCCATTAATTTTGGCCCAGACCAGACCAGGCCTGTCTTAATTAGAGCCACCGCTCTTCCGCCGCTCCAAGGGATGAGGTGCCTCCTTCCTGGTGGCTGGCTACGTGACTCCCGGGCTCCTTCGCTCATTTGTATGCATTGGCCGACTGTGTTTGGTTTTTATCTAGAGTGAGAAATGTACGGAAAAGTGTTAAATGATTATCAAACTGTAGCTGCGGCAAATTGTGCTACTCTCTCTACGCATTTTCCAATGGAAAGCGTTGCAAACACGTCCTGGCAATGGCAATGCGATAAACGAGAAGCGGATATGGAATTTCCTTACACGTGGGACAGTATTTGGTGCAGTACACTCGCAGAAAATGCACCTCTAGAACGTGCCAACGCTTCCAACATGTCCTTGTGTGTAACATTTTTAGTAAATTCAGCTGCTGGCGCTATGTATCCAGATCGCAACTAGCGCGAGACCTAGCAGTTATTTCCCATGTGCCCGTGGGCAAAGGTCCAGCAACAGGAAGTTGAGCTCGTGCCCCCCAACCACCCATCCACTATTCACACCTCCGCCCCACACTATCCGCCTGGCCTTGGAGCAACCTCTGCCCGCACTCCTTGGCATTGTCTCTAGTCGAAGGCCAGCGATGGAACCACCAAACTGGCGAACTAGCGAGCCACATAACGACAGAACGACCGGGCGACCAGAGAACGACTCGCATTTAGCCTCGAATGCTTTTTGCATGCGTGTGCGCCACTCAAGTGGCTCATTATGGCCAGCTGCTCACAAATACCCAGACACAGACGTGGACCTCACCCTCCAGGACAGGACACACATTCATTCATCGCCTACTTCAAGTGCGGCGCGTGGTAGAATTTCATTAGAGCGATGGCGAACAAAATAAAAAAAAAAAACACATTTTCTATTTATTTAATTTGGCGTTAGGCAAGCAAGACGAAAACGTCAGAGCAACAGAAGCCACTAGCGGGTGTCCTTGTCGTCTGGCTGATGACATCAGCTAGATTCGCGATATCCTGCCACCCACACTGACCAGTCATCAAGCCACATTCCACACAGAGAAAAATTCAGTCTAGTAGCTGTTGCAATAGTCAGAAAGATTTTGTCTACTAAACACTCTTAGTTAAGCTATTTAAGTCGCTGTGATAAAGGCTTCAAAATCTGATAAATATCTAAGAAATACTCCTTGAATTCTTGAGCTTTTTTCGCAGTGTGCAAATCGAGTAATTTGCGTCACAGCGTTTTTTCCTGACCCACACAAATGTTTAAAAATAGTTGCCTTCCCACGCGCTCGCCACTCAATTGATCTCTCATTGTGATGGCGAGAAGTCACAAATAGAAAGGCATTAAAGTCAGTCAGTTATCAATATTGCACGGCAATCCGTTGGATTAGAGATTCAACACGACCTTGACACCACATTACAAGTGGGTTAAGTTTTCAATTATTTGTGGCCCAGCCACTCATTCATAACTGCTGGCAGTGGTAGTTAAAGTTTTAGCACGTGGTTGGCCCAAAAACACACTTTCGTTTCCTAACTACTTTTCGTTTATGTTTGCTTTTAGTGCTGAAGGCTCATTAGAGAAATTCCCTGGTTTAATGGTCCTTGCGAAGGAAGAGACTTGCATTTAAAGTTCAGTGGCTGTAAAAGCTTAATATCTGCAGCAAACCCAAACAAATGAATACTGAAATATGCGTCTTTAAGGAAGTTAAATTTAGCATTTATATACGTTTGTTTTAATTACATCCGTACTTGTATTGCGATAATCGACTCCGCATTTATTAGGCTAGAGATTTGCCCAATTATAAATATTTATCTGCCCAAGGCAACAATATGGAAACGAAATAAATACCGCAAAATTAGGATAACTGGCTGCCATTTGTATGGCCCAAAAACCACACTCACAGCCCACATATAATGTCCTCGTGAGTATGTGGATGCGATGTGTGATGTGGAGTGGAAATGATATACATAAATCGCTGGGAATCCATTTGAAATGTCAAAAGGCAACGGCGGAGCTGCTGGGCCTGCCGTTTGGCGACTAGGCCTGAAATAGCAAGGGCCACACAGCAAATTGAATTGATCCAGAGCCAAGCCGAAGAGGGTTGGGTTTGGATAGCTGGCTGGGCTGGCACTTAAAATCCGAGTGACGTGCCGGGCCCGAGAAGGCCGTAAAAGCTAAAGCAGCGTCAGACGAGACGAGGAAGAAGATGGTGCCTACACCAGACCCCACAGATTCCCCGATAACCACGATGGCCATCGCCGTTCCTCAATGCCGCCACCACTGACGCGACTGACTTTGACATGACAGTTTAATTGAGGGATAGCTCCTACCAACAACCTACAACCAACCAGCCTGCGAGCCTACGAACCCAATAAGCCAATCCCACTGCCGCGATAGCCCGGCTTCCGCCCTTTCGGAAACAATGGAAGTAACAACCACGCGCTCAAATTGTATGCAAATTAGTTCGTGTCCCAGGGAAACATCTCCGGCGATTGGAGATTGAAGCGCAGCGGAGTCGTGCGAAACTGTTTGACTTTCTGCCCGGCAGCTCCTTTGGGAAGCAACTCCGTTCTGGACAAAATTTAAAATGTATGTTTTCGGTTGGATGAGTGCAGACGGGCTTACCAGAGCCGAAAACTATTTGCAAAGTTAAAATATCATTTGAATAAATGTGTATGACATAGTAATGCAAATTCATGCTAAATTCATTTCAGTTGAACCAGTTCCTGAGCTGCACAGCTCCAATGAAATATTTCTCGCAATGAGGTAGCTAAAATCCCGGGAGAATCGAAACCATACCCGCCCTTTTCCTGCTTCTAATTTTAACTAAAATTTGTTTATGGAATTGCAAACAAGAGCGGCATGGAGAGCTGGCAAAGGGCACAGGGCTTTTGTGTCGCCGCGGCAAGTTAATCGGTCAACTTCAGGCTGGCAATCGAGCAGTCCGAAACAAAAGGGTGCACGAAAGGCTGAGCCGGCGATAATGGTGGGAATTTTGATGGTCATCCATCAGCGAAACGGGATACCAACGGAGGGGTGGAGCAGCGAGCGGTGCATCAGGACACACCGCACGGGCAAATTGCCTGGGCGAGAGATGTTGGCAAAGCTGCCGGCACAGGACACGTGCTCTAACCCATAGTCCAGGGTGCCACTCACCTCCGGACTCGGCGCATGCTGGGGATTTTGTGGTCTCCGCCCGTCTCCGACCTTTCATTTCAGGTGGGCGGTGTGGGTGGCTGGCTTTTGTGTGTGTGGGCTGACAGTTGACTATGTACTGCAGGTGACGGCACTGGGAGATTCCATCACTATTTATGTGGTTCGCTTACGCAAATCCACTGCTCGAGGAGGAGGAGGAGCCGGCTGGCCAGGACGACTATGGGGGCGTTTGCATGGGTAATGCAGCATGTAACTCAATCAGGGGCGTGGCAGGACACACCCGCACACCCACACGGCCATACGGCCACACATTGATTTCAGCTGCCAGGATGGATGCCTGGCTGCAAATTGAACCATCAAGGACTCTCTGCCCCATTGCAAATTGCGTCCGACAGTCAACAATGGGAATAGGTGGTGGTGGCACAAGGTTGCGCAGCGAGAGTAGCCACAGAAACTGGCGATGCTGTTGCACATAAAGCTGTAATTGCTAATTTTGGAAGGTGTCCCTTAAAAGACCACAATCTATTGCACATATATACGAGTATAAAACATATTTCTGAAAATACGTTCTTCGTGGTATTTTAACATTTGGAATACATTTAGCATGGCTTATGGCTGCATACAAATAAAGTGTGTGGGTTGCAGATGCGCTCTGTCGCTCGCATATGCATACAGGTACGTTGTCCGCATCAGCATCAACAACAGCATCATCATCCAGATCGTCGCCATCATTACACATTTCGGAATTGCAGAGGGAATGTGGATGGATTTACATACATTTCTTTGGGCCTGCCATGCAGCGACAATCACATAATGGCCATAAGTGATGAGCAACCCACCTCCTGCCACATGCTCATCCGCCCTGCCTCCTGCCCATCCTGCTGAATCCTCGCTCTCCTCCATTGCCGTTAAAATGTATTGCCTGCTTATAGGCGCGTGTGGTTAAGTGACAGCGAAGGAGTAAGGAGGCGGGCAGAATGGTTGGATGGCTGGTTGGATCTCGGCTGGGACAGCAGCACAAACAAGTACCGAAAGTACAGCTGGCCATTGAAGGCCACATAAAGTAGAAACATTTTGTTAGTAAACACCTTGGACCATTGCAAGTGCTGTGAAAATTGCTATTCTTAAATACACATCTCATCATAAATATTCTATTTCAAAAAGCCAAAAGTAATTTCATGTATCGCATCCATTTATGAATATGTAGCACAATCTTTATTGGATTCCATGATATGCTTTTGAGTATCCATTTCACTTGCCTCCCGCCCCAATTACTTGTGTGCCTGCAGCTCGGATTACCACTGTACTTGGATGGTGCTCGAGTACTTGGCCAACTCCTTGTTTGTTGGCAAAGTGGCAGAGGAGCCAAACAGAGGAGAACAGAACAGGACGGGCGCAGCAATACAGATAAGATAGCCGGAGCAACGACAGCGGGGATAAAAACTATCTGACAACAATGGTTCCTGTCAGTGGCACACTCCACATCGCTCTGCACACCCCACACCTTTTGCAATTTGCTCCCCTGCCCTAAACGAGTATTGGGTGTTTTCATACCTTCGGCATGGATGTGTAAACCAATTTTAACGGTTTAACTTTCAGCTTATGCTGGGGTCCTTCGTGAGTTTTGCACGAGTGTTTGTGTGTTGGCATTAAGCGTTTGCCCATGTTTGTTTACAATGGTTTTATGTTTGCACAAATGACGACGTCGCCCTTGCCGACTTGCCAGCTTCCCCAGTTCGGACACACAGAGCAGTCAGTCTGGAGGTTCGGAGACTGGACGACGTGGGATCTGGGCACCCAGACCGTTGCCAAGTCAAGCGTTTCCTCTGGCGCTCCCCTAAATTTATGCATGAAAAGAAGGAAAAAAGGAGCAAGCAGTGGCGTGTGTTTGTGACTTATTGTTATGCTGCCACTGTGCCCAATTTATGACTCGAGGTCGGAGGGACAAGCGACGTTCTCAGAGCCACCCACAAGCCAAACACATCCCCATCCCATCC